TTAGAAAATATTAAAAAATTCTACACAGTCTCTTTGTTAATATAAGATAAACAAAAATCTTATGGGTGGTCAGAATAAGTCACAATAAGTATAAGTATAATTTTAAAGATTTTTTTTCAGAAAGGACACACTTTACTTGTCCTGTAAAAGGGAACGCAGCTTCCCATACATAGTTAATTTATTATTTTATTCAGATAAGACAGTCATATTCAGCAAGAATTTCATAGATTTCAATAATTTTCCGTGACTAAAATATTTATCCCAAGGATAAACAAAGTATATCTTTAAAGATTCCTAGGTCAATTTTTGATAAAATATGTTTATGATGCATGTATGTACCATATACGTTATAAAGTCATTAAGATTGCCTCTTCTAGGATGATATTTTGTTGATAGGTTTACATGGTATTGACATATTTTATAGGAAATCTTAGATGATATTCGAATATTTAATATAATCCTTCTTACTATTGACTGCGTAATAATGATACATTTCGGAAATATTTTATTTCTTCATAATGGGAGCATGAATCATCTCGAATATCACTGTAATTGATAATTTGTGTGCAGGAAATTGTCTTTAAGCTGATTTTGAAAATTGTGTCTATTTCAAATAGCCGTTTAAAGCAAATATATTTTTATACTCATACAAATAATGAACGCAACAATTTGATTTTACTTCTCTTTCAAATACATATACCTATATGCATATTGTAATATATTTATTTGAAACAATAGAAATATAAAAGTGGGAATATACTAAAGAATATTTGACTCGGCTGTATTTTGTCTGTTCATGAAAGATAAGGAAAGGTACAACATTGCTTACCCTTCGTACTGGCTTAAGCAGTAATAAGTCTTCTACAGCACTGATTCTGAGGGCCCAGCAACTGTATTCAATTTTTACCAAACACTGGTTCCGAAAGACAAGGATCTTTTTGTAGTTGCCTCACAGAATTTAAACTTGCTTTTTCTAAGTTCATGAAAGCGAAGATTCCTGAAAAGTAATAGATACAAAATAAACAGTTTTGGATTAAGGAGCCGCTTAATGTTAGGTATGTCCGTGAGAATAAAATAATATTTTGCACACCTTCAAGCAATGGCTAAAACGGTATTCAATTCTCAACAGTTTAGGTTAATTATGTTAAATTTTACCCTAGGGACAAACAATTCTTTCGAGAACTTCTTTTAATCTAGAAATGAAAATTCCATTTTGGATAGAAACATTCATGGAATCAGGACTACAAAAAAATATCATATAAATGGAGGAGTGCAATTATGCCAAAACATAGATTTTTATCAACTTGCTTCTTCGTTCTTCCTCACAGATTTGAAATATTTCTCCATTTCAAGTTAGATCTTTCAGTAGATCAATCTCTTTCTCATAACGCAAAAGTATGATTTACATATATCTATGACATTTTGATGTCGACTTATGCATGCCAATAAATTTGGTGCCAGAAACTCATTTGCTATTCGAGCATAATCTCGTCTTTCAGAAGTTTTTTTATCTACATTTACATAAAATTATGAATAAGAAAACCTTATTTACTAGAACCTGCTGCACAGTAAATGGGCCAATTTTTCAAAATATCATGTAATGCCCATTTTTTTAAAATATTGCATTTGCAATTTTTTTTATCTCTTCTCAAAGGTATTCACACTTATCAAATGTAGTTCAAAGCTTTTTGCTGTAGCATTATCCATAAATAAGTTACAGGCATTTTAATACCTAAAAAGTGCCCAATTTTACCTGTAATGCGTTAGCATCAGTTTTTATGTATTTTTTGAACAAACACTCTTTTTTTTTATAAATAGGTTTATCACATGTATTCTTTTGCAGTTATACAGAGAATTTTATGCTCTTCGCTATGGTGTATGATACTTGGTCCATGTTGGTCAAATTAAAATGAAAAATATTATTTTAGTAAAATTGTTCATTTGTAATGCACCTGATATTTTGAAAGACAGAAATTAATAAAAACAATAAATTCAAGAACAAAAAAGAAAAATATACATATTTTTCTTTTATAATATCAAAAAATGAATGTACGAGGGATGATCAAAAATAAACCGGACTGTGACTGTCAATTGAAGAATTTTCAACCTATCACTTATTGTTATATATCACACATAATCGGAAAACAATACTTGTAAACTGATGCTTTATCTAATCTGATAACGCAATTAACTTGTCCGTAACAGCGAATTCAAAAACCATGGTAACGCACACCCGGCGCAGTGCGTAAAATTCGCCTTGACATCAGGCGTTTTACAATATGGCACATTTAGATTTCAAAATACGCCAAAACGTCATGAACCATATCTTTGACGTTGTCAGTAAAAATGACTTCATTTAAATCATATTTATATTCGCAATCACAATTCAAACGTCACATGTTAATGAAATACTCCCGTTAAAACTATGTCGTCGGAATGTCTCGAAAATCGATTAATAAGAAAAATTTGTCAAAAGTAAGACGAGAAACTGTTTAAAACGTAGAAAAATATTATGGCTACCAAGGGAAAAGTTCCAGAAAGCCACAGCATATTTTTTGATTAGCATAAAAGATTAAGAATGGGTAATAAAGAAATAGAAAACAAGTAAGGGAGAGACAGAAAAAAGAAATTTTCAAGGACGTTGGTGACGTCAATCGCCAAGACGTTGAAAAATGACAGTCGATTGACTGCGGACATTGTCAACGATGTTCGACAGTAGCTGCGGGACGGTGCAGTCAACTCTAAGGATTTTAAAATGTTAATAGTTAATGCATTAATTACATATATTGTATATTTGGTTTACAATTGTATCAATTATTTTCTTATTTTACGCAGTAGTTTTTTGGAGAAATTGTGTCAACAATTAGACAGTCACTGTTCAAAATCGGCTATGCTTTTTATTCATTTTAAAATAATGACAATTTTGTTCATAGTTGTATTATTCTTTTATTTTTTCTTATGTATGATGCATTATCATTCAGCAACATTATTTTACATTATTTGTAATACATAATATAGTTTATCACACACCCGTGCCGATTTTGCGACTCCGTAAAAATGGTATTGCACGCCCGTGCATATATTTTGACGTGACGTCATTAGCGTTATACAAACATAGTGTAAAGACGCGCTTAATGTTAGCGTTATATTATAGGCGCGTCAATGAAAAATGACTCATTTCACTTTAAACGGTATTTATTTATTTTGGGTATGTGATAAATAGAATATTAAATTCGTGTAAGTTCATTACTGAATTTATTGCACTCGTTGAATAAAATAATATTATGCTCGCCAGAGGCTCGCATAATATAATTTTATTCAACCCGTGCAATAAATTCAGTATTGAACTTACACTCATTCAATATCCTCTGTTTATTGCATGTGCAGTTTTTCCAACAATAAAGTTACAAGAGGAAAGAACGGAAATTTATGTCATTACATTGCGTCATTTTATCATCATCTATTCTTTTACAATACAATATGATACCCACTTGTACAGATATATATAGGCAGTGGATCCGCCGCATCAACAACATGACTGTACCATTTATTGGCCTACTCCGTGAATGAGTAAAATACTGCTCCGTTAAGGAAAATACGCTTGTGACGTCGTTAACGTCAATTTTAAAGTTATACCGTGCGCCGCATTGCTTTACATATACATGCCAATAACAGCATAACTTTTTTATTTGTTTATATTTCTTGTTGGTATTTTTTGTATCATTTAGGGGATAGATTCCGATTTATGTTCCATGTATTTTTATGTAAATTCATTTAACAGGTTAAGAATCATTTACAAAGTCCGGTTAATTTTTGATCATCCCTCGTATAAGTCAAAAAAAGTGTTTTAAAATAATTATTTGCCTCTTTAAAAAAAAAATTGTGTAAAAAATAAATTTTGTGATGAAAAAAGTGTAACGTCCGTCCCCCTCTTATTTAATGTTCAATTTGAAAATAAATTGGAAGAAAAACATGATTGCTGGTGCTTGTTGACATGCTCATTGTAAAACTAGAACAAAATAAGTACAAATGTGTTTTAATTTTAAAAAAATGTACTTCTTTAAAAGTTATCTGTAACATCCGTCCCTGTAATATCCGTCCCCCTATATATATTGCTCAGTAAAATTAATATTTAATGTTATTTGAAAGTAAAATATGTAATTAAACTTCATCAATTAAAACAAAATAGAAAAAGGACACTAAGTGTGCATTTCAGAAGGTGTATTTTTTTCCAAAATAATATTTTATGCATTTAAAATCTGAAATTATAAAAACTATTCATTTTTTTTCAATCTGAAGAGAGTTTCTAGAAACAAATTCTTATAATATTTCCATAGTTTATAAAAAATAAAAAATACCAAATCAATTGAAGACAAAAATTTAATGCTAGCATTAAGAGTAACTTTGTTTTTATGTTCTTTGAAATAAGGGGACGGATGTTACAAAAAAATAGCCAGAAGTAGTGTTTCTATTTTTTCTGCTCTAATATTTCAATTTGAGTTGCATGTTTAAATATTACATGTTACATTATAAATTATTTATATTAATTGAAACAATTAAAAAAAGAAATATCAAAATTAAAATGTATATTTCATGAACAAGATAGTGATAGAAAGGAGGAAATCATTTTATGGTTGGTTGCCTTTTATGACCCTTTTATGACCCAAACCAATCATTTGTAAAAACATAGGTCTTTGAGAACCTATATTAATAAAGAAGATTATCTACCCTCTGCAATAAAGTCAATCAAGTGGATCCTTATTGTCATGTTAATTGGACAATATGTACACAAAGTGTGACCTCGGCCATCTCTTGTAAAAACAACTGAAACAAGTTTACGAGCTTATGTAACAATCAAGGGTCATAAATATCATAAACAGGGGGAGGAGCCAAATGTCACAGTATGTAAATCAGGTAATCAGCATGAACTTGTACAACTGATTGTTTTAAAATGTGAAATTACAAATCTTATGATTTACACAATCAAAACTTGTGTGAAAATGGATTCACTTGCTAAGAGAGAAAAAGAAAAGGAGAAAAAACGAAGACAAAGACAGAAACTTAGACTAAATGAGGTAATGTTCAGAATATCTTTTTTATGTAAACATAAAAAAATAATTGATGTCTTTTATAAATTAAAGAATACCATTATATTCTTAAATAAATTATCAGCATATAATCTTTAAATTTAAAACTTTAAGACTATAATAATTAAAGGTATATATTTTGTTGTAGTTGCATAATTCAGAAGAATGAGCAATATAAAAATGTTTTTATGATATCAAAATTCTGGAAACAAAGTGATCCCTCGGAAGCATTAATCACAACAAAATAACATAAGAATTGCAGACTCGGTTTGATTGAGTCTGTACATGAAGGATAATGAATGAATGCAACATCCCTCACGCCCCTAGCACCGGCTTGAGCGGTACTCAATTCTCAACACTTTATAGTGTTGGCATCAATGATCCCGAAGGACCAGAAAATATAACAACACTGAAGTGAAGTACGGGGCAACTTTTTACGGCTGCCACACGGCACTTGACACCTGCTGTTGTGAAGTACAAAATTCTGGAAACAAAGTGATCCCTCGGAAGCATTAATCACAACAAAATAACATAAGAATTGCAGACTCGGTTTGATTGAGTCTGTACATGAAGGATAATGAATGAGTGCAACATCCCTCACGCCCCCTAGCACCTTTATTTTGTAGGAAAAACATAAAGAGGCTAAATCTAAAGATGCTGCCAGGAAAAAACAGGAGATAATTATGTTGAAGGAAAATGCTGCTCTACATTCCAGAAAATATAAGCATGTCATTAACAAAATCAGACAAGGAACTGCTAATCGTGTACAAACACATCGTCAAAAGAATAAAGAACAGAGAGAAAGTATCCCAGTTACACCAAATTTCCAACAAAAAAGAAGGCAAAAGGAAAAACATTGTAAAGATGTACAAAACCATCGCAAACATGAGCAAATGAAAAAACAAGCTAACAGGGAGAGGGTAGCAAAATATCGCTTAAGAATGAAGTTGAGAACTCCACAAGTACCGGTACAATCACCACAAACACCAAATAATGAGTTTTCAAAGACACTTAACAGTGGATATAAACATAGGAGTAGTGCACAGAGGGCTTTTATGAGAGTTAATAATTTGATTCCCTCAACTCCCGCAAAGAAAGTGTGCATTATTGAGAAGCTTGTCTCAAGTACAACCCCAAGATCTCGTAAGGCTTTATGTGAAAGTGAAACAGTGCAGACAATTATGAACTCAAATATGTCCAGAAAAAAACTAAGTGCTCAATTTGCATTGACGGAATCACTAAAAGATGATCTTTCACAAAATAAACATAGAACTTCAACAAGCATTGTTGCTATGAAATTGTTACTGACAGCCCGCAAAGTGTCATCAGTTTCAGATATGTTAAAAATTTCAAGGAAGAGGCTAGCAAAGTCAATTCATCGGGAAAATGTTCAAAGGAAGAGTAGAAGTGACAAAATCAGTGATGAAAACAAAGAAATTGTCCATAACTTTTACCTGGAGGAAGCAAGTCGTGATGCCGAATAAAAGGGATGTTATTTTGATAACAGATGATACTGGGAAGAAACAACCAATCCAAAAGCATATCATGGAAATGACTCAAGCCGAAGCCTTTCAAACATTCAAGATAAAACATCCTTATGTAAAAGTAGGGCAACGAAAATTTGATGTCTTAAGACCAACACATGTGCGCCACACCAATGCTTCGAAAAGAATAGTCTGCTTTGTACATACTGTGAAAACATTCGTCTCATGACAAAGACTTTGAGTAAGACTATTAATCAAGAAGTCATAACTTCGAAATCTTTGACTGACCTCACAATGTGTTACACTACTGGATTTTACCATAGAAGTGAATGTATACACAGAAAGTGTGATCAATGTGGAACTTAATTACTGAATGAGAAATTTGCTGACAAACTAAAGGCAGATGGTGAAAACATAGTATCATGGAAGAGCTGGGAAAAGAAAAGAGTGCAGCTTGATGATGAAAGATTTGTGAGCCGAGTTGTACTCTTTACACATGAGAGTGCATTTGCTGACTTATTTGCTCAGCTCGTGTCTGCATTAGAATCCCATACTCAACACATTTTCCGAGCTTCCTGGCAATATGATCAATTCCGTGAAAACATTAAGAACATTAAAGAAGGTGAAATAGTTATGGCAATGGACTTCAGTGAAAATTACGCATGTAGGTATGGGCGTGAAATCCAGTCAGTTCACTGGAACCAAAAACAAATAACACTGCATCCAATGATGCTTTATTACAAAAAAGACGGAAAACTGATTAAAGAAGGTTACACAACCATCACTGATGATCTAAAGCATGATTCGTACGCAGTATCTGAATTTGAACAAGCTGCAGTTAAACACTTAAGGGACAATGATGTGTTAGTTCATGAAATACACCAATGGACAGATGGTTGTGCTTCACAATATAAATGCAGGCATAGCTTCTCAGACATCACACATTCTGAGTAAATTTTAAAGGCGAAAGTAACTCGAAACTACTTTGAAACAAGTCATGGCAAAGGCCCATGTGATGGACTTGGAGGAATAATTAAAAGAAAAGTTTCAAATGCAGTTGTTCAGAATAATGACATACTAATAAGCAATGCAAAAGAGATGACTGAATATTGTGACTGAATATTGTATTGAAAACTTATCATCAGTTGGTGGGTCATATTCAAAGTCCCGATTTAATAAGTATTCTGAAAGCTTTAAGTACGTGAAATCAATAGACCGCAGCAATGTTACATCTGCCAAAACATTAGCTGGATCTAGGAAGCTACATAGTGTTCGTGGTACAGGAGCAAACCATGTGCTTGAAGTGCGTCAGGTCAGTTGCTGTTGTGTCGGATGCATAAGTGGAACACTATGTGAAAACTCTAAATATGTGCAACCATGGAATAAGCATGTATTAAAAACTGTGGGAGAAACGAGATGTGAAAAAGAAAATGAAGATGCCAGAAGTACTGACCTGTCAAATTCCCATATAAATGAACTACCCATTGATGAATCCCAAAGTGAAGAAATCTCAACTGGCCTTTCCCCCCAAAACGATAGTGACGATATATTAAATCCTTCTCCAAAAGATTTTGTTGCCATTGTGTTTAAAGCAAAGAATACAAAAGTATGTTTCTTTGCAAAAGTTTGTGAAGAAGAGAATGATGAAATACGTGTTGAGTTTTTAGAAAAATGTGGGAAATCAGTATCCTGATGTACCTGATGAGTCATGGCAAAGTGTTTCTGATATCATTTGTAGTCTCAGTCAGCCAAACGTGATTGTTACTGGATCTAGAGTAAAATGTTCATTTACACTGGATAGTCAACAAAAAAAATTGTTGAAAACATACAAGCTGATGTGATAATGAAATAATGAATGTGAAATCAAGTAGATCATGATATATAGTGATAAGTGTGCTTACCAGTAATACCAAAAGAGAAGAAACAACCACCAACCTATCCCCCCCAAAATAACGATAGTGACGATAATTCAAATTCCCCTACTAAAGCTTTCGAGAAAGACGATATCAACTTTAAAAAGTGCTTGAACTTCTGTAGTGTTTTCTGGGCAATTCAAACAATTTGCTGCTTTTTGAAGAAGAAAAGTATATATAACAGGAATATTTGTTTTAACTTACACTGTATATATGCAAAACTCATTACATTTATGAGTTCATTTTGTTATTTTTACTGTTATTGTTATTGCTTAGAATGCCCATAATTTGGTAACACTAATTATTTTTATGCTCATTATTTTTTATCAAAAAAGAGTCAAATATTATATTCCTTCCATTTATAAAGTATGTTTATTTAGAGTAAACAAAAAACACAAAAAACAAAAGTTCAATTTAATATAGAATTTAACTTAAAAGTTAATAAAAAAATTTCAGATAATGATAAATTCATATTTTCATCATTATTATGATACTTAAATAGAAAAAAAAACAATGTATTTCCTTCAGTTTTTTATGTTGGTTATTTGCTTTTCATATTTTGCTGTTAGAAAGTGTGTTATATTTTAAAATTATGATTTATATGAAAAATATCAGCTATGTACATTTTGTGTAACATCCGTCCCTTTATATTAAAATGTAACATCTGTTCCCCATATGTAATGGTATTTTATGTTTTATTTAAGAAGAAATATACTATGAAATGTTTAATAAACAAATTGTTTTTATAAAGGATGTGTTTGTCTCTTGACTTTATACTGGATTGGTGAAGCTGTCTGTGTTTGTATTTAAGAAATGGTAAATATAAATAAAAACTTTTACTGTTACAGAATAATGTGTCCATTAAGTCTGAGATATTGGAAGCCCCATCAAAATATATCTTTCAAACAAATACCAAGTTGTTTTATGTTCATTTATCATAATTCACTCAATTTTAGGTAACTAAGTACAAAATACCTTAATTTCATCATAAATTATCTAAAAAATAATGAAATTAGGATATCAGTGTAACATCCGTCCCCTACCATGACAACTCGCAGAAAATATAATTTTATGAAAAATATGGAAAAAAGTTATCCTTCCTTTCCTGAAAGATTATTCCAGACAGCTTTGGATATATTAAAAAAACATTTTTGACCTGATATGAGAAACTTTATTTTTTGACTTAGATGCTAACACAATTGGCCCATTTACTGTGCAGCAGGCACATGTACATTTAGCTTTTGCAGAAAGCGCATTACAAAAATGTACATTGTATCTATATTGAGAAAATAAATACATGTAAACATGTCATTGAATATATTATAACAATGTCGATAAGGTACAGGTGACCTTATTTAAAGAACAAATATCGATAACGAAATATTCAAATGACATCCTCTCCCTAGTGATCAATGTACACCAACGTCTGTACGTGACAGTTTAAATTTAAGTAGACATTTCACGGTGGTATACTTAGATACGGCCTTTTATGTTACTTTAGAAAATAAAGCAATTGCTTTCATTCTCTTTTGAGATTGTTTAAAATATTACAACGCTTTAAACTTAACTCGCATTAAAATTCGTGTATGATTATTCGAGTATATTCCTTTCTTATCTGTTGCATTTCTGACCGCTTGATGTTCCTTAGTTGATTTTTGTTAGATTTTCTTTTAATTAAATAGCTTTATGGTTTTGGACATCACTGGAGATCCATTGACAGAATAACGTATGGTAAATGCCACTATTCACAAAAAATGTCACTACTAAAAGCTTTCTTCTAATGAACGGAAAAGTATGTCGAATTCTGACTATGGAATTCGTGCTTGTTTGCCACCAACTGAAAATTAAAGCATTGATCTAGTGTAGAGAATCAAAGTAGCTTATGAAATCGGATCCAATTGACAGAAGCAAATTTAAAACAAATCTGAGTAAAACACTTTAAGGTAACATGTATTCCTAAATTTACCTTTACACGGCCTAAGTTGCAATGACAGGATAAACATCTTATGTTCTATCAACGTAAATACATGGCTTACATGGATGTTTTTTTTAATTCAAATTGTCACCAATACACATAAATGATAAATTCTGCTTGCGCCGGTGCTACAGTGCGTTGGCGGTAGATTTCAATTACCACTTACCGTCCAAGAACAGTCCCAGTCAAACCGAGCCTGCAACATTGTCCATTTTGTCGTTTTGATCGGTCTTCAGTGATTCTGTTTTTTCTTACTTTTTTACCATAACATAATACACTCATTAGAAATAAGAAAATTGTGTTTTGTTTGGCCGATATTTGAAATTCCTTAACAAATACTTTTTAACATTTCTGCAGTAATGATTGTTTTCATTGGCCCCGAGGGATGTACTCTTTCTAGAATATTCACACCGGCATGTGTTCAAAGATAATTGTACAAATTTGTCTTGTACTATATTTTAATGTAAACGAGTGTTTCTTAATAAAGTCCTTCGGAACGACTGATTCTAATACTTTGACGTGTTTTATCAAAGGCTCTAGGGCGTACTATATTTTGCACCTTACATTGTCTCTTTTAAAGACACCAAATTTAAGCATGTCTGTAATTTTCACTCTTTAACTTCTGTTGCAGCTTATAATCAATGACTTACATGCAATAAACATGTATATCGTAAAAACATCGCAATAAGGATGACAAAGCAATTACCAGTGTAGCCTGAATAAGATACATATGATCCGAGGCGCTTGCCACTTAGCAAGTTGTATAGCAAATTTATAATCATACAAATTGTTATTGACAGCACAAAACGCAATAACAAATGTTTTGTACACACGTAGTCAAAGATGTAGAAGTTTTCGGTTGTCTTCGGGCTATCTACCGCATAGTATTTAAAGTATTTCAGTCTATTCGAATTCAAGTAATTTATTTGCATTATAGTAAATTTAAGTATAATTTAAGCTGTTTAAAAATGATTGACGCAAGTAATATTTAATTTGCTATAATTTGATTCTTCTTCATTTTACATGATGCTAATTTAGGGCTATTTTTCCATATCGAGATCGATTCATTTTAGAATTCTCTTCAAAGACTTTGCAATCTATATTTAAAGAAG